TGTAGATGCTGACGTCCTAGGTCTTTGTACGGGAAACTTCATTGAAATACGTCGATTAGAGCAAAGGCAAAAGCAGCTCCTTTGATACATCCCCTGAACCTCTCAAAATCACTGAAATAATTCGGTTCTGGGAAGCCATTTTGGTTCTGCTGTGCTGACCCGCTGACCTATTCATGGTGCTAAGAGGGTTAAATATCCTTATACTTATAGTATTGACAGGGGCGTTAAACCCACACATTCACTTTTTTAAAGTAACCACCTACGCTATCCAGTTCAGAACAAGAATTGAAAGCGCACAGGCTGCTTTAGCATTATTCTACTTGTAGATAAGAAGCCCATGAGAAAATTTATTCAAAGTTCAATCAGTGATGTAACAGTAAACCTTCTCACCATCGTGAACAGAAAATGAGAGCTCAATTCCCATGTCAAGAAGTATTTTTATAGTGCATCTCATTTACAAGTAATAATGATAATTACTCACTCCAATTTCAAGATTAAAAACATCATTGTAAGCCAACAGACTACAATTATTATAATGTATGCAATAGCGAACACCATCTTGTGCACCTATAATAATCAGATGGCATCAACTGATAGGAATGGGCAAGGGACAAGAAAAAACAGCTCAACCTCCCCCTTCCCTCCCCCCCCAAAAAAAATAAAAAATAAAAATAAAACAAAAACAAAAACAAAACAATAAACAAACAAAAAAACTTCTCCAAACCAAAACAACACAAAAATTAACCGCTGCATGTCTCTAAAAGTCTTAGCTCTCTCTGCTACAGATGTCAACTGTGGAAGACATTAGTTCAGCTCCCCCCCAGTATGGAAATGTTTTCCTGTACCTCATTTCCCATGAACAACAACAACAAAACAAAACCCCCAAGACTCACCCCTGCACGTCTCTCGAAGCTGTAGCTCTCCCTGCGTCAGATGTCATATGTGGAAGATGCGAGCTCAATTGTCTAGTCAGGAAGTTTGATCTTGTATCTTGTTTACTATGATTTACAACTGACAACAAAAAAAAGAAGAAAAAAAAGAGGACTCACCCCCGCCTGTCTCTCAAAGTCGTAGCTCTCCCTGCTGCAGATGAAACATGTGGTCTTCATGTCGTTGTCAATTTGCCACTGGGGGAGAGATCACAGAGATGAGGATTGAAAGAAAACATCTCACAGCTGTTGTTTATTTGCCTTTTTCTGTTCTTTGTCTGCATAAATCTATGGAACAATTTAAGAGCCTGTAGTGTAGTTGTAATATATAGGCTTTTTGCACTGCACAAAGAACTGTGTCAATAGAAATACTCTGAAAGAACAAAGAACATAAACAAAGAAATGTGTGCGCGCTCATATGACCTTACGCAGTTGCGAGCGCTGTAAAACCCTAAACTACTACTACTACTAAAGAACTGTGTCAATAGAACTGTTAAACAAATACTCTGAAAGAACAAACAACATTAAAAAAATGAAGTCAATCGCACCGTCAAACTTGAATCAAACTTCTTCTTCCTCTGCTTCATTCCAGTCAAAACAAATACTCCAACAAAACAAAGGACACGGAAGAATTATGTTGACGGCCCGGTTAAGCAAAGCTCCAATAAAACAAAACACACAGCATTGAGTCAATAGCACTAGCAAACTTCTTCTTTCTCTTTTATATTCTCTAGACTGTTAAACAAATACTCCAATGAAACAAAGCACACAGAACATTTATGTTGAGACTGCAGTTAAACAAATGTGAGGCAGCGTGGTGGAATCAAGCTCTCGTCAATTTTTGGGTATATTGAGTTATTGGTATCATCTTAAAGCTTGTTTATTTGTCTTGCTTTCAATGGAAAAATTACCCATCCATCTTTAATAGAAGTGGATTATTTTGGATTGAAGGAGGTGGGGGTACCTGAGTTAAGAGGTAAAATAAGCGAGAAAATGACTGCAAAACCTAGGTAAATTCCAAAGCTGGAGAGTCCATGGAAACTGTAAATTTATAGTTTTGTGCCTTTAATCAACGTTTTCGGTGAAATCCTCAAAGAAATGTGTTTGTAAATGGACATGAAAGGTGTTGAGCCAAAAAACAAAAATTTGATAAAAATTGGTCAGTAGGGAGAAAACTGCTGCTTTCTTTGATTTCATTATTTTGACGAGAGCCTGATTCCACCACGCTGTCTCACAAATACTCTGAAAAAGAGATTTTTTTGTCAGCGTAACCATTTAAAAATAGAGAGATTCTGAAATTTGAATTCGAATTTTTTCAAAAACTTGTCACACTACTGTTTTACTTTGATTTTTTCACACAAGTAGGCTTTCAATTTAGCAAAGAAAACATTTTGGCAATAACACGAGAAAGTGCATTCTTGGCTTACGGCCGCACAGTAAGTTATCTTCCCCTTTTTCTTCTTTTGTTACTCTTGAAACACCAAAATTTGTACCATTTCAACACATTTTTACGTAATTTACATGGGAAGAAAAAAAGCACAGTAAGTTAGTGTGTGGTGAAGAAGTTATTG